TGTGACCAATAAATTGATGTTTGTGACCATAAAATAAGTAACGTAACTTTTAAATTTTGTGATTGTGACCGATGAACAAATTGTGACTTTTAATTTTTAAATTGTGACCGACAAACAAATTGTGACCTACGAAAATTTTGACCTGTGACCTAAAAAATTTTGAATTGTGACCAAATTGTACATATCTGTGACCGTTATATATTTATTAATAAAATATATAATTAATTAAGTAATTCATAAATAAATTTAAATAAAAACCTGATTTTTGAAATTTAAAACATCATACCTTAATTTTGAAATGTGTATAAGTAAAAGTAGGATTTATGTATTCTTCCCTTAATTTTATCCATATTTGGGCTCCAGTTTTCCAAAATCCCATTTCTTCAAAATTCATTCAACCATACATTGTCTCATATGACACATAAACTCAAAAAATTTCCTTATTTTTTAACAACATTCACAAAAAATTACTGTTCCAAAACATATTTTCCCCCAAAATCTCATTTTAATAGAGCCTAAACATGGGTTTTATGTAATCCACAACTTTTTATCTACACATTTTATTATTTTTTGTCAATATCTACTAAAATTATGATATAAACCAAACATGTGCCGGATTCCAATTACAATGTCGTGAGAATTTTACTTCTTAGCCACGTTTTATTTAAAAAATTATTATCACAAAACCTCTTTCTTTTGTGAGAAAGTGGGCTCAAACAAGAGCTAAATGCATGTTTGCAAAGCTTTTTATAAGGGAAAATTACATAGATCAGGTCTTTAAACTTATAAGTGCAAAAATCAGGTGTGAAAATTTTTTAATCAAAATTCAAGTAATTAAATACTATACCACCAAAACCCTAATTTCATTTTATCCTCTTCTTTTTCCCTCCTTCCCCTCTCTCCCTCGTCTCTGTCTGCCTAATGTGAACGGCGACGCTGTTGTGAGTTGTGGTAGTGTCGCGACTCTGCTGCAGTTCATAGCGTCGTGCAGCGATTCCTCCTCCATTCCCCCTCCCTCCCTCCCTCCCTCCCTCCCTCGTCTCTCTCTGCCTACTGTGAACGACAGCAGCGTCGCGCCTTTCACTTTCTCTCTTTATCTCCAAACTCCATTTTCTCTGGAATGGAAAAAAATTCCGTCAACTTCTGGCCACCAAGACCACCGGATTTGGATACCATTGCACGGCCCTGAACAACACCTTTAATTTCCACCCAACATGCATCAATTTCGTCCAAGTATGAAGGAGAAATCAACAGTCAAAATCAGCTGCCGAAGAATGCTAAAACCGCCGGAATCGCCTTCTCCGATCAACTTCACAGTGGCGGGCCACCACCAGCCAACTCCCCAAAGTCAGACGACCATCCCCATGTCCACAATTCATCCCAAAAAGCATCACACAAAAAGGAATTAACCACAGTAATATCTGCATCGCGAACGAGAAACCAGCAGGTCCGAAAAATGCAGTTTTTGGTGCCGTCTGGACGACCCACAGTGGTGGACCAATTGGGTCCTCTTCCCCTCCCCAAGACGCACCTTGCCCATGTATGGGTCAACCTCGATTTAACTCCTAATAGCCTGAATTTGACCCAATTTGTGGCTGTAGCGAAGAGCTTGTGTGACAGCTTCGATTTCCACCATTTTGATGCTTCAATCTTGCTCCAATTATTCAATTCAGCCAACAAGAATTCAATTAGCAATGGTAAGGCTATGGGTAAGCAACCAATTGCATCAATTAACACCTCAACTTCTGGAATTGAATTTGCCCATCCTCCTCATCGAGATGCATATGTTCCTATTGAAATTGATGATTCTGATGGTGTTTTTCTTCAAAACGCATGTGGTGGTTGTTGGCGGTGGTGATTTGGGTGGTGTTGGTGAGGTTGTGTGGTGATGGTAGTGCGATGGATCTAGGTAGGACGGTGGTGGTATTTACTTGATGTGGTGTGTAGTGGGTTGACAATGGTGGTGGCAGTCGACGGTGGTGTAGGTGGAAGATATGGTGATTTTGGTTTTTTGTGACTAAAAATATAATCTGTGACCTTAAAATTCTATAATTTGCGACCAACCATTTTGTTATCTGTGACCTAAAAATTATATAATATGTGACCGTGAAAAAATCTGTGACCAACTAATTTGAAAATCTATGACTGTGTGACCTATAAATTTTGATCTGTGACCAACTAATTAATTGTGACTTAGAAAATTTTTTATATGTGACTATTAAAAAATTTATGACCAACTAATTTGGAAATCTGTAACATGTAAAAAAACTGAGACCAAAAATTAATTTTTAACTAATTAATATTAATTAATTAATAAATACTTGATTTTTGCAAGTTTGAAACTTAACACCTGATTTTGCAATTGTCAAAGTTAATATCTGATTTGTGAACTATTCCCCTTTTTATAATGATGGAATTGCATGTAAGGACAGTCGTAAACATTTTAAGTTAGGAGCACAATCAAATTCCGTACAAATCAAATACTTTGTGCTTAATTTTTTAATGATTCATATTTGACCCTAGAAAATGTAGGTTTACATTTAAAAAATATTTCTTCATTAATATTTTGCTCATAATTTTCATCAGTTTGATTTAGAATAATCATTTTATTAATATTTTACTCATCACAAGAAAATGCATATTTATGTTTAAAAAGTTTAAAGTGTATTTAATACAAAAAAATCAACTCAAGTAATGGAAAGGAAAAACATATGACCAATATTCAATACAATCAAACAAACACAATTAGTTAATATATAAGTCAAATTGGATATAATCAGTTGAGATACATCCTATATACACAATTTGATAGGAGAAAATTCAAATTTAGGTTCTAATTAGTTGAAAATTTGATCGAAAAGTGAAAAATTTGTAGTGAATGTGAAAATTTGTAGACATTTTTAAAAAAATTAGATAGAAGTGTTAAGGGTCCTATAAAAGACACGAGAGAGAGAAAGCAAGAGCAAAGAGAAAAAAATTCAAATTTAATGTTATTTTACCCATGTTTAATGGGGATTAGAATTAGATTTTTAATAAATTTTAATAAAAGTTGAAAAGTTATAGATTCTATGAAGTATTTAGTTAAAATTAATTGTTAATTTAGTTTTAAATTAAAATTTAGATTTCAATCGATATCGAACAGGACTTTATATTTAAAAAAATCTCAAAAGTTAGGGGATCATCACGTCCCCCTTGGGGTCCGCCAGTGATTGCGTGTTTTCCACATGAAGTCAATCTTTGACACATTCTTTTAAAACACATTTTTAATCGCACATTTTTCAATAAAATAATATTTTTAATCACATCGATAATTTTTCCTTACTTTTTATCTACATATTTCTCATCATATCACTATCTAAAATATATTTTTTTCTCAATAATATTCAGAGAATGTGTGATTGAAAATGAGATTGAAAAAAATGAAGAATCACACTATGGCTTATTATTATACATCACATTTCTTATATCTCATTATTATATTCAATCTCCCACTAATTAACATGTCGTGTCATTGATTAAAGAATATCAAAAAAATTAAGAAAATGTGAAGAAATAAATAAAAATTAAAAATATTATTTCAGCACTATTTAAATAAATAAAAAATAAATCTCTGCTTTAAAAATAAATTTCCTGTATTATTTGACGAAAAATTAAAGAAATCTCTCATTTAATTACAAAAAAGTCCTTTTTAATACAAAATTATAAAATTAAATTACGAATGAATATTCTTCTTAGAAGATCTGGATAAAAAATAGAGAAAAATGTTATAAGATTTTTTTTTTCCCATATAAAATAGGGAAAACAATGAAAAGGGAGAGGAGAGAAGGAAAATAGAACAATCTTGAGAATCTACGTTGAGTGCATTGTTCAATTTATGTATAGACTTTTTTTAAGTGACGAACTTTTGTGAAATCCTATGGAGTTAATGGAAGTCTTTCGTGCACTTCTATAGACTTTTATTTTATTTTTTTGTAAATTTTGTAGAATTCGTTTGACTTTTGAATACTTTCATTTAAAATATAATTCACTCAAATTTAGAGTAACGGTGATAAGTTCTCACATAAGAGGTCAAGGATCGATGTCCATCCCATTCCCCCTTCTGACCTTCTCCATGCAATGAAAAACTTTGTTAAAAATTAAATCATCTACATAAATAAATAATTCAAATATAAAAAATAAAATAGTATTTTAGTATTTTGGATAGAAGAAAGTAATGTTCAATATTATCAATATGTCGATCCTTTAAAAAATAAATAAATAATCAACATTTTTAAATTTTAATTACGAATTAGCCATTTTTTATATAAAAAAATATATTTTACATAAAAAAAATTGGATAAAAAAAATAATTACAATTTAACTCTTTTTCGTATGAAATGAAGAGAAATAAAAAAGAACGAATGTAACCAATTGGTGGATGAAAAAAATAATTATTTTTTAATCACGACTCTAAGATTTGTAGAATGAGAGATGAAAGAGAAATAAGGAAAGGACAAAATATATATATTCAAAAATTCTCTTTATAGAGTTTCTAAAAATTTTAAAGTGAGTGAAATGTAAATTTTGAGATTTTATTTTTGTATTTCTACTTAAAGTTAGTATATTAGAAACGTTTATAAAATCCTTTAAAAGTTATTAACATTCCGAATGCCTCATGATCTATATAGACTTAAAAGAGTTTTAATTGAATATATCGAGACTTTTGAAAACTTTTTAAAAGCTCATAAAAGTCTGTATTGAGTACGTCTATATTTTTTATAGAGTTAAAAATTTTGCATTGAATGCACCTAAGCTTTGTAAATCCTTAAAACTTTTTAAAATCTCAATTAAATACACCCCGAAAGTTATTTTCAACTCGAATACCCCGCAACTTATAGGAAATTTTAAAAAGTTTTTAAGTCTATGAAAGTTTTTTTTTTTTGAATACACCAATACTTATTGAAGATTTTTAAAAAGCTATTAACTCTTTAAATTCGTAAAAGTCTTTAAAAGTTACAATTGAATGCAATATATCTAAAATTTTAAATTGTGCACGCCTAAGATTATTAAGTAAAAACTTAGTTTAAGAGTTTGCAACGAACAAACTAGATTGATAGTCGTACTTATGAGAAAGAGTACGATGAATGCAGTCCATAGAAGAACAACCTTGCTATACTTACATTTCCCCTTGCACATTTTTTTTACACTATTCCATGTGGCAACATCTATACTCTTTGAGGGTTTTTTATTCTAATTATCGCCGAAATACATTTTTCTCACTATTCTTTTCAATCACACACTTTCCATTAAAATAATATTACACGTAAATTCAAAAAATTTCCTACTTTTTTAACCACACTTTTTTCATCAATCTACCATTCCAAAATACATTATTCAAAAATAATGAGGCTCAACACCCCTTGATTTTGAACTCATCCATCACATAAGTGCACAAATTTTTACACACGGAGAATGTCAATCAAATTGTCATGGTTGATGTATATATAACATTATATCCATAAAAAACTATCTAAAAAGGATTTTGCAATTTTTACATAAAAAATTTTTTACAATAAATTACATAATTTGGCGTGAAGAGAAAATATTGGATGAAAAATTGATTACGTTTCAAATTGACAAATGACAGAATATCATGAGATATGATGTAATTTATTATATAAATTTTGATATACGTAGCAAGATTCATCTAGAAATACAAATTGCAGAAGAAAACAAATGTAATGCTGCTTTTATGGCCCTCTACGAAAGAAATATATAATTATTCTATCTTAAATACATTCTTTTTGAATTCAAAAAGGGTTAATATATTCACATCGCATTTTTTGTTGACTGCACCACATTTTAATTACAATGAATATCCCTTATCTTCTCTCATTTTTACACTTATGTTATTAACTTTTTTTTTTTTTTTTTATCTTCAACCCTCTATTAGTTTTCATATATTATCCATAGAGACAATTTTTATTCAAAATGTTTGTTACGTGGGCGAAAAAGATATATCTATTTCCGTATTTTTAAATAATCGATGCAAAAGTTTTAAAAAAATTTTAGCATAACTTTTCAGTGTACGTTAATAAAATATTTGAATGAAAGTCGTGATTTGAGGCAATACATGTTAATTAATTGAAGGTTAAGAATGACGATGCGAATAGAAAAAAGTTAAGGACATAAAAGCAAACTAAGTAAATATTGAAAACCTTTATTGTAATTAAAATGGTCCAGATATAAAAAATTGTTGTGAACGGTTCAAAGAATTATGAATGAGAAATCCATAGAAATCCGTTTTAATTGATAATCCATTAGTATTTTCAAAGAATACTGGATCAATCTTAAAGAATTGAGAAAGATCAATGTCGAGCCGCACCGGTCCTTTGTTTGTTTGTTTTTTTTTTTTTTTTGGAAGTTTTGTGCACGTATCAACAAATCGTCAATTTCACATTGAATAATTTTTTTTTTTTTCGATAAAAGTTATGTTTTTAGTAGATTTTGATAAAAGTGTATAGCTAAAAAGTTGCGAATTAAAAACGATTCTATAATATATTAAATATCATATCAAGTGAGAATCATTTTTTGGCCGGTTATATGTATAACACAATTTAATTATTTTAACAATACCTAAATTTTCGTTTTTTAATATGTATTTAACTTACAAACTGTAATAAATACTACAAAATCATTATTTATACATGTATTCTTTATTATTAATTTTTAATTAATTAACATTCACATTTATTTAATTAATGTTAATTAGAATTTCACATCAATGTCAATATTATTAATTTTTAATTACTTAACATTAACATTCACATTATTTAATTTAATATTAATTAGAATTTCACGTTCAAGAATACATTTCATTATTTTCGTTCATGTATATTAATTAGAATCCAATTTTACTTAATTGAAAATTAAATTATATTCATTTAGTATAAATGATCTAACATTCGAGGGTGAAAATGTAAACGTGGAAAAAGTAGCACCCAATAAAATAAATAAGATAAACACTTCCTGTCTCCTTCTTTTGCTTCAAGTAATAAACCCAAATACAATTTTTGAAGAAACGCATAAAAGGAGACGATTCTGCGACCCATTCTATCGGCATTTGTTATTTTCTCTAATTAAAACTCGAGAAATCATGGTGCTAGAGGTATTTTCTCTATTTTTTCCTTTCTAAATATTAGGGTTTTATTTATTTTGAGCGATTAATTATTATACTTGATATTTATTTTTTGAAAAAATCAGGCGACAATGATCTGCATCGATAATTCTGAGTGGATGCGGAACGGCGACTACTCCCCCAATCGATTCCAGGCTCAAGCTGACGCTGTTAATCTCATTTGTGGCTCAAAAACACAGGTATTCTCCTTTTCCCTCTGTACACTTTTTCCCACTGTACATGATGGTTATTAGGATTTCTTAATTGTTGTTATGTATAATTTTAATTCATGTTAATTTGGAGTATTCCTTGAATTGATTAATTATTATTGTGTAGTCAAATCCAGAGAATACAGTTGGAGTGTTAACAATGGCAGGAAAAGGAGTTCGAGTATTGGTCACACCGACTAGCGATCTTGGAAAGATCCTAGCTTGCATGCACGGTCAGCTTTTATTATTTTTTAAGCTATTTTGAATATGTGTTATTTTTTGTTTCTGTCGAAAGCAAGAGAAAAAACTGCAAAGGATATGAAAATGAGGAAATTCAGTTATTTTGTTTAATTAATTATATGAAAATGATTTGTTTGTATTACAATATTATTTAAGGCATTTGTTGGATCTTGTATCTTTGATGTTGTATGCAAATAAGGTTTCCTTCTTTATCAATGCAGGTCTGGAAACAGGTGGTGAGATGAACTTGGCAGCAGGGATCCAGGTGGCGCAACTGGCTCTCAAGCATCGCCAAAACAAAAAACAACAACAAAGGATTATTGTATTTGCTGGCGGGTAATCTCTACTGCTATTTATAGTTTCATTATGCTCACAATTTTTGATTTTTGGTCTACTAATTGTTAGAACTCGTGATTATAGTCCTGTGAAATATGACAAGAAGGTGTTGGAGATGATTGGAAGGAAATTGAAAAAGAACAGCGTTGCTCTTGATGTTGTTAACTTTGGTGAGGAGGATGATGGGAAGGCTGAGAAGCTTGAGGCACTGGTTGCTGCTGTGAATAATAATGATAGCAGTCATGTTGTGCATGTTCCTCCTGGTCCAAGTGCTCTTTCTGATGTGCTGATCAGGTTGCTTTCCAAATTGCAATATCTGTTAATTTTGACCAACTATAGAATTTCATACTTTTAGACACGTCATAGGTCATCCTTGGTTGTGATGCCTATTGCTCAAGTGCGAGAAGGATAAAATTTGCTTTCAACATTCAAAGCTAGAGATTTCTTAAAGAAAATCAAATAACACCTGGGATAAGTTCTGAATAGAACTGTAGATTATCTGTTAATATGTTAAATAGGTTTGGTACCCATTTGCACCACATATATTGACAAGTACCTAAAGCCCTGAGCTTTCAAACTAAGCACCTTCTTAAAAGGAATGATTATGTGGATTTAAATAAACTCGGAAACAGGATAACATAAAATTCTGAAATAATCAAGAAAGTAAATAGCTAAAACTTCCGAGATAGGATTTTCTGTCACCTCTTACCATAGTGCGTGACCAGTTATTTTTTCCGCATTGATTATTTCTTTGTTGTTGTTGACAGTACACCTATTTTTACTGGTGATGGAGAGGGAGGAAGTAGTTTTGCAGCCGCTGCAGCAGCAGCCGGTGGAGTATCTGGTTTTGAATTTGGAGTGGATCCGAACCTGGATCCTGAACTTGCACTCGCGCTTCGAGTTTCAATGGAAGAGGAGAGGGCAAGGCAAGAAGCAGCTGCAAAGAAGGCTGGAGAAGAAGCTGCAAAGCAGGAAAGTGGTGAACATTCTGCATCACAGGATGCTACCATATCTGAAAATGTGATCACTGGAACAACTGAACCCGAAAACAAGACAAAAGACCAAATGGTTAGTCTCTTTTGCACTGAATTCTTTTTTCTTTTTGGTGTGCCCGTTCTTTTTAAAAGATCAATGTACGAGTTTAGGAACGTGAAGTGGCATAATTTGTTCTCTAAAATCTCTATATACACTGACAAACCTGTACTATTTAAGTCAACTGTCATCATGCAAATCATGCATGTAGAATGTGGAAAATTTAACCTGCATTAGTTTTTTGTTTTTGTGTGGTAGAAACTTTTGATTTTGAATAACCAATTTCATTCCATGCCATGCTGCTTTAATAAATTTGCATAAATTAAAGGAGTTATTTTACTTGTCTTATAAAGCATCCAAGAAGGTTTCACGTTCTACATCACATCTGCTCCGAATTATCTCTGCTGTTTAGGTTGATAGTACAATGTAATTTACAATCTTTTTTGGTCATGGCAACGGTGCTGCAATGGCCCTGTGGCTCCTTATGAGTTATATATGCAATTGCAGTGTACGGTACGTACGTAAAATATTTAGATTATGCAATAGATTTATGTGCATAATTAGGAGAAGGAAAATGTCGTGAGAGACCTTAAAGCAGTCCATCTGAAAGAGAATGGGGAATTGGAAATTGGAATGGGGAAGTAGATTGTTTGATTTGTTTATGGCAGGGGAACTAGAGGTTTGCTGTCTTTTCAGAGATACCAATTTTGTACAGAAGGTATACACTATATCATGAGTCAGACACATACTCAGGATTTTGCATGTCCTGGTAAAAAAATGTTGATGGGAGGTTCTTCCTGGCTCAGATATAATTTTTTAATAAACAGCGGACTAGTTTCAGTGTGTGGACTGCAGTAATAGAACTTTTTCCTGATTCAATTAAACTGATGTCATGTTGGACATGTTTTGGTTTCACACTTTCTTTTTATGCCCATGACACATTAACAACTATTACTAAATTTTGTTAGGTGGTGTAATTTGCTGAGTTTACTTTGCCCCTGTTTGGTTTGGATAAAAATTAGATTTTTAGTTAATTTTGATAAAAGTTGGTGAAATGTATGGCTGAAAAATTGATAAAAGTTGTGGATCACATGAAATATGTGATTGAAAATGAGTTTCGAGGAAAAAATGAGTTTTAAGAAATGAGGGCCAAACATGGGCTTTTTGAACTTTCACATTTCATGCTTGTGTGCTAGCGGAGATGACAGCTGAATCCAATTAACATCTAAAATTTTTGGGTCTCAGGATGATGAAAATGCATTGTTACAGCAGGCTCTCGCAATGTCTATGGATGATTCTTCCTCTGCTGTTGCTACACGGGATACCGAAATGTCAGAAGCAGCTACTGATGATCCCGATTTGCAGCTTGGTGAGAACTTATGTTGGTTGGCTGAATTTCATTTCTTGACTTGTGTATCATTTCTTTTCCTTTTTCTTAAGCTCACTAACAATTCTATCTGATGTTTTACACTATCCAATGTGTTTTTACTTGTGTTCTTTCCTGTTTAGGCTGCTTGATATGTTTCTTCAGTACTGTTGTTTTCCTTGAAGGGGAATGATCACTTACATGAGAAGAGGAATGAGTCGTACCTGGAGCTTATAATTTGTTCTAGGTTGACTAACTATTTCACAGTATTACTCTTTAAATTCCAAATAAAATCTCTACACAATCTGTTCCCCTCACGCAATCCAATTCCCTTCAAAACCTATGTGACAACCTCCATCCCCAAAAAACCCGCTTGAAACGGAGCCTACTTCTTCCTTTTGCCACCCTCCCCAGATTTCAGCTGTTTGGACAAAACCCCAAATTTGAACTTGATGCCTGGATAGCAACAAAACCAGCCAATATTCTGAAGAACGTTAATAAAATTGGCAAAACCCGTGGTTCCCAGATCCGATTTAGGATAAAAATGTTATCTTTTTTCTATATTTTTTACACGTCATTAAATAAAGGGCAAGGGTTGATATGCAAAGAAGATAAAATTATAGCAAACAAAAATGGAATGAAGAAAAAAAGCCCAGGGTAACTGGTTGGGTTCTCGGCGTTGCATAGTGAACCTGAGAACCGGAGGGAACTGTTCTGTTCTGTTCATCGTAATTGTTCTTTTCACATAACTGGACCAAACTGACCAGTCTTATTCTTATGATATTGGGCCCACACCTATTACTGCAGTATGTCTAATAAATTTGATTTTTATCCAAAAGTTGATGCAAAAATATGCTGTGGTTTTTCATGTTCCTTTATATGGAATCGACAATTTACTCCCTTGCTATGGTTGGAGGCAATAACAGTGATAGGATATGGGTTTCGTCATTTTTTAAGTAAAGTTAATGTCATTAGTTTTTGGCCTTTATAACTGAAGCTGAATGTTCAGATAATTTTATTATTTTATCACAAACATTTGGAATTAAACGTGTTTTTGCATTTTTTATGCCCTTTTGTTTATTCACAGCCTGCCATTTTATTTATGGAGGTGCAGTACAACTGTACTATTATGATTGATTAAAAGAGAGCACTCAATTGTCTCATAAACCATAGAAATCTTGGGTATTAAGCCCTTGTTAAACCAAAAAATGGGAAAACTTTCTTCAACCCTGAGGTCGTCTTCGTATGAATGACATCGTCAAAATATTATTTTTGAACTTACCACATGGATGCAGTTTGTCTAGGAGAGAGCTCTGAGTGCATGGAGCCCCCCGAGAGCATTTTTTAATTTTCTCAACTTTGGTCTTTGTTTGTATTTACTTAATTCTTTTTAGTAGTGCCATCGCCTTAGCTGCATAAAATAATGGGTGTTGTCATTGTTGGTCTCACATACAAACTATTCTTGTTTCTTGATGCTCTGGGAATGGGACCCTACCTCATGCTGTTTCCTCTCCTTGTTTGCAATAAATTACTTCTTGACCTTCCCTAGAAAATATTTTCTTTATATATGGTTAAAGCTTATTTGGGATCTTCTGTTCTAAATCATTTTTCTGATGTCTTATTTGTTGTGGTGCATGTAGCCCTTCAGTTGTCCGTGCAGGAGGGTACAAAAGACCAATCAAACGAGTCAGATATGAATAAGCTGCTTGCAGACCAGTCTTTTGTGTCCTCTATCCTGGCTTCGGTAAGTCTTCTAGGCTGATTTCTTCATGTCTCTTATATTATGGCCAAATGTAGCCAGCATTACTTGATGCATATGTAGGTCAAATAGTGAAGTGAAAAAAACTAAACTAACATCTAGAGTCATGTTTCATCGTTTGTTTGCTTCAACAGCTTCCAGGAGTTGGTCTAAATGATCCCTCTGTCAAAGATTTGCTTGCTTCCATGCAAAGTCAGGCTGAGGTGAGTTCAATGGTTGATATTAGTTTAAGCAAAGATTGATGACAACATAAGATTTTATCGAGTGTTGTGAATTATGTTTTATGGCCTGTGAAAATTTTAATTTTGTGTTTCTAGCTTAATTTGTCGTCTTCTCCCCACATATTTCTGACTGCACAAATAATAATTGGCTTTGTATTATTGCTGTACATTAAATTTTACTTTTCACTTTAGTTTGTTAAGCTGTGTCTTATTAAAGTATCAACTAGTTTTTCCGATCTGTATTTTGTTCGTTTAGTCCCAGCAGAATAAGGATGAAGATGAAGCACCAAAAGAAGAGGAAAAGAAGTGATGATGCTTCAGCTGATATCCACTGTCAGGTATAGTTTCTTGCTCACCAATTTCGTGTTTAGGAGAAATTTATTGGAATTGCTTGTATGCTTATTTTTTCTTCTCGTCTTTCACGCCCATGAAGTATTACTAGTCATGCTGTTTAGCGATGATCATTAAATTCAATAGTACTTTTAGCGATGCAGGTTAAGCAGTGCCTTCCTGAGTTATTTGTTCGGTTTGAGTTGCAGGATGAGGATGAATGTTGTCAAAGGGGATTGTAACATGGACACTCAAGTTCGCATGATGGAGAACTGTTATTTCTGCATGATTTATCTTTTACTACATTAGTTCATTTTTCTGTCTTTTCTAATGGAATTTCAAAGAATAGTGCAAATGGTGCAAGCTCTTGAACTAAATTTGAAGGATTACTCAATATAATTAACCAGATGGTTGTCTTCCTGAATGAGCATTCCACCATTTTATGTTCCGCAATAATTGCTTCTATGGAGTTTTATCCCTTGATTGAGCTGAAGAGCTTATGGTTTGGTTTGCTGTTTTCTTGTTATTATTAGTTTTGCAAACCATCCAAAACTTGGCTTGTCTTGTATATTTGAAAATGCCTTTTTGAAAACCAAGGTTAAACTTCATAACATAAAACTTGAAATGAGTTTTGACATTTTGGATGTTTAGTGGAAATATTGAAAAAACTCAAAACATGGACAACAAGGGTTGTTTGAATTTTTATTATTATTATTATTTTTTTTCAGTTTTTAGTTTTAAGTTTTGAATTTATTTCAGTTTTCTGTTTTGAGGGGTTGATTTAAGATTGGCAAAAATGAATTTGGTTTGTCGCTTCGAAAAATTATTTTTCAGAACAGAAATTTAGAAAGCACGTTTGGTTTGAAATTTTTTAAAATTGTTTTATGATACTTTGTTCAATTAAATATATAATCAGTGCAAGTAGAACGATTTTATTTAATATGTTATCAAGGGTGTTTTTGATCCACATTATTTTGGAAGAATGTATTTTGACATTGTAGATTGATGGAAAATTTGTGGTTGAAAAAGAAGGAAAAATTATTGATGTGATGGAAAATATTATTTTATTGAAGAATGTGTGGTTGAAAATGAGTAGAAGAATGAGAATGAAAGTTTTAATGTGTACCAAACATTGGCTATATAACTAGAAGAATGCATTTTGGAATAGTAGATTGATGGAAAATGTATGGTTGAAAAGAAGGAAAAGTTATTAATGTGATGGAAAATATTATTTTATTGAAAAATGTGTGGTTGAAAATGAGTAGAAGAATGAAAATGAAATTTTAATGTGTACTAAACAGGGCCCAAGTAATAAATATATTTTAATGTTGATAAATTTTAAAATATGTTTTTCTCAATGCAAAAATAAAACAAATACTAAATTGAGTTCAACATATATGAAATAAAAATAAAAAAATAAAAAAATATTTTTATTTTTGTTTATTTAAATAATTTTTTAGAGTTTTTATGTAAATAATCATCAAGAGTTTGAACTATTTTTATTTTTTATATTTTTTTTAAATTTTAGATTTATTTATTCAAAATTTTTATTTTTTATGTTCTAGAATTTATCAAATTTATTTTTTGAATTTTATTTTTAAAAAATATTATTTTTTAAACAAATTTCTAATCTTTTAAATTCTATTTTAATAAAATTTTATTAAAACGTTTGTTTTTGAAGAGTGTTTTCAGATTTTTTACTGAAAACATTCGTTTTGAGTTTTTTGTTTTCGAAAATGCATTTTTAGAAATATTAGACTAAATATATTTTCAGTGTTTTGTAAAATTGAAAATAGCAAATCAAACGCATAACAAGTGTTTAAATAAAATTTTATTTATATAAAATTATAAGAAATTATAAATTCTAAAAAAAAAAAAAGAAAGAAAACTAAAAAAATGGATAAATAAAAAAAGTAAAAATTTGAAAAAATAAATTCTTAAAAGAATAAAATTTTAAAAATATAAAAATTATAAAAAAAGTCAAACTTTTGATGGTTATTTACATAAAAAAATATATTCAATTGAACACATTTAAATTTTGAGTCCACATCATTAATTTTTATTTTTTATTTTATACGTTTTGTCACCTCAATTTATTTTTTGCTTGTATTTTATTTTTGTAGCAAAAAAAATAATATTGTAAAGTTTATGAATTTAAAATTTATTTATTACTGGATAATATATTAACATATATATATTTTTTTAATTTTACACAATAATCAAATTTAATGAAATAAAATTTCAGATAATAATTCCTCAAAATTTCAAATCAAACATGTTTTCTACTTTTCTGTTTTGAGAAACGATTTTTATAATGACGACCAACACATGTTTTTAATGATTTTAAAAATATCCTCAAAACATAAGACCGAAAATGAACTCAAAATCGAAACACCACCAAATATCTCTTCTTAGTTTTAAGCCACTGCTAGTAATAGTTGGCGTGATCTATCACTTATTTTAGCAAACTTTTTGATGTAAGGTAATCTCCAATCTTGCACCAAAATTTGAGATAAGTTTTTACCATTTTACACCAAATCTTGCACCAAATTAAAAATCATCTCTAATCCATTACACCAAATGAATAATGTCTAATCATTTTCTTCATTATTTTGATTATTAACAATTTATTTATTTTACAACTACATAAATTACTATAAATAATTATGTTAAATTACCGAAAATATTGAATTTAATAACAACAACAACAACAACAATTTATTGTATTACAAAAAAATGTATAACAGCAATGGATATATGAATCCTTAACCAATTTTTTTGCAAAGCCAAGGAGGGGCAAAATGATATTTCCACTTTGGTGCAAACTGATACAATAGGTTGGAGGAGATCTGTACCAAATATGTGTTGCAATGGCACAAGGTTAGAGATGCTCTAATTTGTTGATTTCAGCATGAAATTGTAGCCCCCATTAAGTGGATACACACGAGGTGTATGTTTGGCCTTCATTTTTTTTCTGAAGTTCATTTTTAAAATTCATTTTTTACTGCACATTTTTCCATAAAATAATTTTATACGTAAACTTAATTTTTTTTTCTCATTTTTAATTACACATTTTTCAAAAAAATACTATTCCAAAATAAATTATACCAAAAAATGGGGTTCAAACAGGGAGCAAATTAGTTTTTAGTATAGTCTGAGACTTGTTCACAACATCAGTAGCTTTATCAATATAGTTTGGGAAACCATATTTTAGATCGAGATGCATTACTTGGCATGTGCAATATGTACATGTTTGTATGCTCCAACGACTTCAAAAGGATGAATGACAATTTGGTATCTTTTCTTATGCACAATTACATACTACTAAGGTCAAATTTCAAGTATATTTTGTTTTTTAAATAGTTATTATATTGTATTTTCTTATCTATTTAGTAAAAAAAGTCGTGCACAAAAATATTTGTTCGTGTACAATTTGAACTCATGTATGGTAGCCTATTCTTAGCCCAAATGAAAGGAGAAAGGTTTTTACAACTTTATCATGCTTTCGACGAATTATAATTTTTACGATTACCCATTCCTTACCATTAGATAACTATTTTGATGTAACATAATTTCCTTTCATATTCATTATACATTGGGGAGTGATAGTGCAATTTTCGATTTGAATTCCAAAGAGAGAGAGAGAGAGAGCAGGATAGTGAACGAGTCGGTTTGCTGGACATGGGTGAGTGAGCCACCTCACGCTCGACTCACCTCACACGAGAACTCGTGTAGCGGGCCAAGTCGAGCCCATTGATAAGTGAGCTAAGTGATTTGGCTCAACTCCTTTAACATCCGTACATGAATTACACAACGTTAACCTCAAATAGAAAAAATAAGTTGGGAACAATACATGACTACCACAATATAAAAACCACATTTCACAACTAACAAACTCCATAAATACTTTCATAAATTACGTGCCACCCAACCCCCTCACCCCCATTCATCACAACCCAATTACATTTTCAAAATCGAAATCACAGAAACCCCTACGCTATATCTCTATCTTCTGTCTCTATCACCCACCCCTCTATATTTTGGAGCCGCAGCGACGGCTCTCATTTCACACTGAGGTGCTACTACTAGTGGTGCAGCAGCAGAGCACCGCTGCGATAAGCGGCGCGACAAGGCCGAATTGTGGCTAAGTGTAGTTTCGAAACTCTGCAAAGTTAAAGACCTTGCCATGAAGCATTTCTTCTTCAACTTCATCTTCCTCGGACGTGCTAGAACATTTATCACGTTAGTTATGTCCTTCCCATCAGTCGGGATGTTGCTGTAATGACGAGAGAGACTTTCAGCAAGCCTATCCAATGACACGACAATTTTGCCTATATTTCTCAATAATGTCCCTGACTCAGTGAGATAGGTTCCCTTTACTCATACTTCACTGCCAGCACTTCGATCCCTATATTTCTACATGTTTTTATTGCCCTAGATTTGTAGTTACATTTTTTAATCTTTTGAACTCGATGTTTTTAAAACTCCTAGCAGGACATTTGTATAAAAAATAGAATTTTGCCTTTTATTTTTGGTTTGTTGCCGTATGTGTTGTGGTGCTGGTATGCGATATGTGCAAATTTATTTGATCACAGACGTTCACATTGAAGACAAATATGGTCACAATTAATCACAGATAACATAGTTCAGTGACTTAGTTATATACAGATGCTCTAAATAGTCACAAACTTTAAATGTAAACATGTTTTGTCACAAAAATTTATGGTTAATGGATGTCTGATTACAGATGTTGCTATTAACACAGACTTGGTCACATGCAATCACAAAACTTACTTCTTGATCACAAATTACTAATTGTACATGTCACAATTTATTCCACGGTCACAAATTATCAAATTAATTGGTCACAACTTATTTTCAGTCACAAATTACAAAATTTATAGACCACAACTTTATTTCACGATCGAATTAGTCTTTTCTTCCACAATATCACCACCAAGATGACGTAAATTCCCACCACTTCCAATACTACCATCACCAAAAGGAGTACATTCTCCCCACCACTAGATCGGTATCTGACATAGATTTAAAGTAGAGTACCATTAGGCATGTTTCTTCAGAATAAATGTATCAATACATTTGGTACCAAGTTGGCTTAACTACCATGGTATATGTCATGAACATCTGAGTCACCTAATGCTCAAGTGCTCTCAGGAAAGGAATATGAGTGTGTTTGGTAGAGATTTTTGGGGGAAGAATTGATTTTTTAATAGTGATATGA